AAAATCCACCTCAAATTCCATCCCAAATCCCACCCCAAAATCAGCCCCAGAAAACCCCAAATCTGCCCCAAAATCCATCTCAAATCCCGCCCCAAATGCTACCCAAAATCATCCCAAAATCAGCCCCAAAAAAACCCAATTCCACCCCAAAACAAGCCCCAAATGCCCCCAAAATCCCAAATATCCTCCAAAAAACCCCAAATTCCCCCAAATCCCAACAGCCCAAACATCCCCCAAAGTCCTGGAGTTTCTGGGAACCTCCCAAAAATTCCCAAATTTTTTGGGAAAGAGTCTCCTGAGACCCCCAAAATTCCCCTTCCCTCCCCCTTTTCCATCCCCAGGAATTCCTGGGGGGATCCCAGGATTACAAAGACCCCAAAACCCCCCAGAAGCCCCCAAAACACCTGGGATTTTTCGGGAACCTCCCCAAAATTCCAAAATTTTTTGGGAAATAATCTCCTGAGACCCCCACAATTCCCTTTCCCTCCCCCTTTTCCACCCCCAGGAATTCCTGGGGCCATCCCAGGATTACAAAGACCCCAAACTGGCCCCAATTCACCCCAAACCCCCCGGGATTTTTGGGCCCCCCCCCGGCATTCCGGGGTTTCCCGAAATCCGCGTTTTTTCCCCCAGCAATGCAACGACGTGGGGCTGATGGCGTACCTGGGCACCATCACCAAGACCTGCAACACCATGAACCAGTTCGTCAACAAGTTCAACGCCCCCAAAACACCTGGGATTTTTCGGGAACCTCCCCAAAATTCCCAATTTTTTTGGGAGTCTCCTGAGACCCCCTCCCCCCCCACAATTCCCTTTCCCTCCCCCTTTTCCATCCCCAGGAATTTTTGGGGGGATCCCAGGATTACAGAGACCCCAAACCGGCCCCGATTCGCCCCAAAACCTCCCCAAAATTCCCAAATTTTTTGGGAAATAATCTCCTGAGACCCCCAAAATTCCCCTTCCTTTCCCCTTTTCCATCCCCAGGAATTTTTGGGGGGATCCCAGGATTACAGAGACCCCAAACTGGCCCCAATTCACCCCAAACCCCCCGGGATTTTTGGGGCCCCCCCCCGGCATTCCGGGGTTTCCCGAAATCCGCGTTTTTTCCCCCAGCAATGCAACGACGTGGGGCTGATGGCGTACCTGGGCACCATCACCAAGACCTGCAACACCATGAACCAGTTCGTCAACAAGTTCAACGTGCTCTACGACCGCCAGGGCATCGGGCGCCGCATGCGCGGCCTCTTCTTCTAGCGCCCCAAAAACGGCACCATCCACCCCAAAAATGCCTCCAAAAACGGCCCCAAAAACGGGGCAGAAACTGCTCCAAAACCACCCCAATCCACCCCAAAAACTGCTCCAAAAACGGCCCCAAAAACGGGGCAGAAACTGCTCCAAAACTGCTCTAAATCACCCCAAAACCAGACCCGAAAACTGCTCCAAAACCGCCCCGATCCGCCCCGAAAACGGCCCCAAACACTACTCCAAAACCGCCCCGATCCGCCCCGAAAACGGCCCCAAAAACGGGGCAGAAACTGCTCCAAAAACGGCCCCGAAAACTGCTCCAAAACCGCCCCGATCCGCCCCGAAAACGGGGCAGAAACTGCTCCAAAAACGGGGCAGAAACTGCTCCAAAACTGCTCCAAATCACCCCAAAAACGACCCCGAAAACTGCTCCAAAACTGCTCCAAATCACCCCAAAAACGACCCGGAAAACTGCTCCAAAACTGCTCCAAAACTGCTCCAAAACCGCCCCGATCCGCCCCGAAAACGGGGCAGAAACTGCTCCAAAAACGGCCCCGAAAACTGCTCCAAAACCGCCCCGATCCGCCCCAAAAACGGGGCAGAAACTGCTCCAAAAACTGCTCCAAAACCGTCCCGATCCACCCCAAAAACTGCTCCAAAAACGGCCCCAAATCACCCCAAAAATGGCCCCAAAAACGGGGCAGAAACTGCTCCAAAACCACCCCGATCCGCCCCAAAAACGGCCCCGAAAGCTGCTCCAAAAATGGGTCAGAAACTGCTCCAAAAACGGCCCCGAAAACTGCTCCAAAACCGCCCCGATCCGCCCCAAAAACGGGGCAGAAACTGCTCCAAAAACTGCTCCAAAACCGTCCCGATCCACCCCAAAAACTGCTCCAAAACGGCCCCGAAAACTGCTCCAAAACTGCTCCAAAAACGGCCCGGAAAACTGCTCCAAAACTGCCCCTATCCGCCCCAAAAATGGGGCAGAAACTGCTCCAAAACTGCTCCAAATCACCCCAAATACTGCTCCAAAAACTGCTCCAAAACCGCCCTGATTTGCCCCAAAAACGCGTCCAAAACCGCCCCGATCCACCACGAAAACGGCATCAGAAACTGCTCCAAAAACGGCCCCAAATCGCCCCAAATACTGCTGCAAAAACTGCTCCAAAAATGGCCCCAAATCACTCCAAAAACGGCTTCAAAAACGGCTCCAAATTGCCCCAAACACACCCCAAAAACTGCTTCAAAAACTGCCCCAAATCACCCCAAAAACTGCTTCAAAACCAGCTCCAAATCGCCCCAAAAACAGCCTCAAAAACTGATGCAAATCACCCCAAAAACTGCTCCAAATCACCCCCAAAATCGCCTCCAAAACAGCCCCAAATCACCCCAAAAACGGCCCCAAAACAGCCCCAAATCACCCCAAAAACGGCCCCAAAACAGCCCCAAATCACCCCAAAAACGGCCCCAAAACAGCCCCAAATCACCCCAAAAACGGCCCCAAAACAGCCCCAAATCACCCCAAAAACGGCCCCAAAACAGCCCCAAATCACCCCAAAAACGGCCCCAAAACAGCCCCAAATCACCCCAAAAACGGCCCCAAAACAGCCCCAAATCACCCCAAAAACGGCCCCAAAACAGCCCCAAATCACCCCAAAAACGGCCCCAAAACAGCCCCAAATCACCCCAAAAACGGCCCCAAAACAGCCCCAAATCACCCCAAAAACTGCTTCAAAAACTGCTCTAAATCACCCCAAAAACTGCCTGGGAATTCACCCCAAAAAAGGCCCAAAAACCACCCAAAATCACCACCAAAAAACTGCCCCAAATCACCCCAAAAACCACCTCAAAAACCACCCCAAATCACCTCAAAAACCGCCCCAAATCACCCCAAAAACGGCCCCAAAACAGCCCCAAATCACCCCAAAAACGGCCCCAAAACTGCCCCAGATCACCCCAAAATCCACCCCAGAGCTGCCCCAATTTGCCCAAAACGGCCTCAAATCACCCCAAAATCCACCCCAGAGCTGCCCCAATTTGCCCAAAACGGCCTCAAATCACCCCAAAATCCACCCCAGAGCTGCCCCAATTTGCCCAAAACGGCCTCAATTCACCCCAAAACCCCCCAGGATTTGGGGACCCCCCGGGCCCGGCGGCTCCTCGCGGGTTTGGGGCGAGGAATTTGGGTTTAAAGGAGAAATTTTGGGGATTTTGGAGCCTTTTCGGGGGTTTGGGATCCCCGAAAATTCCGGAACTTTCCCAGGATTTTGGGGATCCCGATTTTGGGGCAATAAAGTCGAGTTTAAGGTGGAAAAATTTGATTTTTTGGTGTTTTTTTTAATGGAGGAAAAAGGGAGGGAAAGGCGCTCCAGGAACCCCAAAATTTTGGGATTCACCCCAGGAATTTTGGGATTCACCCCCAGGAAATTTTGGGATTCACCCCAGGAATTTGGGGACCCCAATTTTGGAGGGTTTGGGGTTGGTTTGTTCAACCAAACACAATTTAAGGTGGAATTTGGGGTTTTTGGGGTGGA